TAATGAAGAATTTTGGCACAGCTAATTCTTTTCAGTTGAACATGTTTAAGCCATGTGAATCGTTTGTTCAACGTGATGCCGAGATATTTAACGCTATCCTCCCAGTTTATCACCATATCACCCACTCTCACTCTCGACGGATTCTCTCTCCACTTACGCGTTATAAACAGAGCCTTAGTTTTTGTCTGTATATATATGTGTAATATGATAATCAATCATTTGACTTTCAATCTCGTCTTTTAAGATATGTTAACTTATGTTTTTTTAGTCTATGATGTCTCATAAGAATATGGCGTCTATCTTCTTATTGTTGTACCTTAGATCTTCCTGCGGGGAAGAGGTTAGTATATTCTCGAGATAAGACATGTTGTCGTAAGAGGCGACTAAAATCCCGACACCATTCGACACAGTTTGGGGTGTAAATTATAGTGAGTGAGTTTCACTTGCGTCACCCGACCGGAAGTGTGTATCTGGTACCACTGACGTTAGCGCCCGCAGCTTTGGCTGTCTTGACGCGGGAATTTACGCGGGAAGAATGATCGTATTTATTTACTTGCATTCGGCGTGAAATAGCGTTTTCACACCGGGTGTTGTAAGCCAAAGATCAGCAGAGGTAGGATGGGTATCGCTTCTTACCAAGGTAGAAGTTATGTTCAACACAGAACTTTAATTTGTACTGGCGGAATTCAGCGTCTATCGGCGCATTACCTTGACACTTGTGTTTAGAACACCGTTGGTTTTTGCCAACAAGGCAGATAATAATGCAAAAAACCCAGAATGTCTTTTGTATGTTGGTTGTTTAGTGTAGTTCAGTTTGGTTAGGTTGTACCGGCCTATTGGCCGATAAGTCTTTTGTCACATTGCGTTACCGTATAATAAATTTAGTTGCAGTGCATAGTGCTTAATATTAATTTGCATATGTAATTACATTATTTACATGTTTATTTAAAAATATTATATACAATTACCATAACTTGTATTTTTTCCCAGTTAGTGGTTAGAATTCCTAAATATTTACATTTTTACCAGTTATTTTCCTCCGTTGAAAAATCCATTTATTCACGTCTGTATTAGTTGATGTATATTCCATCTCAATGATTATTCAGAGTAGCCACTATATCGCTTACAGCATATTAGTTGTCTTGATATTTTAATATAATGAATTATTTCAGATGTAGTTAACATCTCCTCAATTGAACTTCTCGCAGTTTAGATCTAGTAGTACACTTAAGGAAAGCATAACTATGTTGGCTGTTCCACATTGAAGTACAGAATATAAGAATGATATCAGCATTTCAGTTAGGCGTATTGGTGCAATAACAATATGTGCGTAATAATAATAATATTCACTAATATTTTCTAGAGGTCAATCGTTGCTACTGATTTATATGCTATCATTTATATATCGGTATTTATAACTTGTCCTCAGAATAATTTAATCCAAGCTTTATTAATGTATATCAGCTATGTATATATATATACCTTTTATAGAACTCTTATTTATAGAACTTTTATAGAACTTGCATATGTACGATGTTGAGCGTATTTCAATTTAGACCTCTTAGAACCAGTCATGATGTGTAGGGTGTCAATAAAAATTGTGGAATGAAATATTCAGTAGGTTTGTTAAGATTAAAATATAGCACAGCAATATATTTTAAAACTCTGTGGGGAATACTACTTGAAAATATTACTTTATTATTTTACTTAATAGTAAACACTCACCTTCAAGAAGATTAAAATGGTTTATTGTTTTGGAGCGGATATGTAGGGTATTATGATAATCTTGATAATTGAGTTCTTTAAATGTTATGTTTAGATGAATAAAAATATCCCACTACATGATTTTATTGTCTACTGCGTGACCTTGTTAATAAAAAAACTACAAGACGTTATGTTTGAGTACACCTATACCTATATAAAAATTATATACGATACATACTGATGTATTGACGTAAAACTTTTTATTCTTAAACAAGTGATTTGCAGTGTAGTTTAGTTAAAATATATTAAAATAAAATTCCAAGAAGAGTACAATTTTAGTTTATTTTCATTGTCTAGTGGTTACAGATCAACGAGTTCATTTAAGTAAGAAAAGTGTAAAAATAAAAGAAACTAATAAGCAACTTTTAAAATCAATTCTTGATGTGTTTCTTTCAATTTACAAAACACTTCGAGAGGATCTCCTGCACGTATAGATCAGATGTGTTGCAGACTTCTTTATGCAGACTTCCTGTGTTTTCCAATTATGTGTTTATCGCATAATTTTTCAGCTTATTATCGTATAAACAAGTTAATACCAATAAAATCCATAATGACGACATATAGTCCCCTAAGGTAAATCCGAGAAGTAATAAGCAACGATATTAGAGCACATACTCGCAAATCGTAAACTGAATTGTGGTTGTTGCTGCTTAGGTTGTCTGTCGCTGGTTTGTGGCTATAATCATGAGATACTTTATTAAGCCGCAGAACACAACTGAGACACTTTAGCAAGCAACTAGTAAGCGAAAATAAGCAGAGCAGAAGAAAAGCAAAAATAAATAAAGGAAAATAAATTAAAATTGAAATAAATTGAAAACCAAGTGGGGCATAAAAAGAGACTGCGGGACCACGAGAGAGACCGAAGCTTACGTGGGGGAATCTTGCAGTGATTTCTGCTCCACTCATACAATTATAATTTATGTGAACACAAAAATATTTTGGCGTGAAACGATTCATCGATCGGGCGGTATCTTTATGGAGCTCTTTAAAAACGATTTGTAGTTGAATCGCATACGCATGCTTGTAGTGATTTATGTAGTCGACGTTCCAATTTTCTAAATGCTGCAATTTAGAAATGATTTTCAAAATAATTTTCTTTATTTATACTTACCACTTACTTGCTTATACATATTAACTGCAAAACATACTCACACCATTTCAACAGTTCCCAATACGTCTAATGATTTTTTCCAGCATTAATTGTATAATGGCTTCAACATAATTTTAACATTTTATGGCTAATAAAAAATTCCTAGAATTCGTACGTCTCACATTTGACTAAACAGTTGTCGTTCAATGTTTTTTACACAAATTAACAATTTTATTCTGACAGTGCAACTGGATTGAGTCGTCATTTCTGACTAGTGTTGAGCGTCTCAGTATTGTTAATGTTTAGCAAATAAGTAAACCAACAAATAAAACAGGTAGAAGGAATAATGTAAGACCTGCTATGTGAAAATGGTAAGCTTTTAAACCAAATTGACTTTGCTTGTCTTTGGTTGTCTTTTGCATATTGTCAACTAACTTAGTAACTCAATTAGACTCATTTTCTTATGTAAATTTAATTTGTGACCAATATGCTAATCTGCTTTAAGACTGTCTTTAGTATGTAATGTTAGCTCCGAACAGAGAAAATTGACAAATTTTACGCAGGAAATGTCTTGTCTTGCATCTATCACTTGTTTGTCTTACCATGTACACTTGGTTTACTTACACATATCTCTAATATAATCATATGTGGCGGCCTTTTCATGGCTTCATTAAACGGAAATCCTACACGATGTGATGTTCACTAAACTAAATTAAGATTCAATATTTGTAGTTACCAAGAAAATCATTGAGTTAAGTACCTAAATGAAGAAAATATGCCACAACAAAACATCGAAAAAAAGTTTCGGAGATGGGTGCAATTATCATCTTGGTATTTAAGACAACGTTTTTAAGTCAAAATATTAATAATAATTCTTATTGAATAAAGGCCTTAATTTAAATTATAGCTAATAATTTCAATTTTAAGTTAAGTGAAGGGTGTTTTTTTTAGCTGGATGAAAATGATCAACATCGATAACTATGGTTTGACACTAAGAATATTGAACTGTGTTGACATTTCTGTTCAGTAAGGTTTGACAATTCTTTATGACTTGTTTAACGATAAAACAACGCTTCCAAAATTGTGAAAATTTACTTTAAAAAAAAAAATTAATCTGTTCCCGAAGTTTATATAAAACTTTGTCCATTTTACGGTGAACATGATCGGCCTAGTGATCAATGAATTTGTGCAATTATTGATTGTTTTCGCACTAATTTTACTCTTTGCAATCAAACCATCAACAAGACAAACCGAGGAGAATATTGCTGCTATAGTAAGAAATGTTGAAAAAAAACACCGAAATGTCGATTCATCACCGTTCTCAACTTGTTGGCCTTCGTCCTTCGACTCTACGTGGAAAATTTTTCGTAAGGATCTTGGTTTACCACCTACCTATGAAATACAGCTTATACAAGAATTGAAGCCAAAAGGCCATCGTTTGCGTCGCATTTTTGCGCATTGGGCTCATTTGAATCTGGCCAAAGAGCAAAGATAATTCTGAAGCCGTTAACGAATAACCATTACATCCAGTAAAATTGACTGTTTTTTGTGGTTAACACGGCATCATCGGCCCTGATTTCTTTTGAAATAAGGAAGAAGATGCCGTTACAGTGAATGGTGAGCGGTATCAAGACATACTGACTGAATTTTTGTTTTCAAAGATTAATCATCTAAACATCGACAGAATTTGGTTTCGACAAGACGGCTCTTAACAATCGATTTATTACGAAATCAATTTAGTAACAAATTTATTTCCAGAATAAGTCCTGTTAACGCTTTTCAATTGTTTTTTATGGCGCTATGTTAAATCATTGTTTTATGGCGACAAACTAGTAACTCTGGAAACATTGAAAGCCAATGTTGATGCCAACATTTATTCTATATTTCTATCTTCCATTATTATTTTAAGTTCTCATGCAATTAAAGAAAACATCCGATATTATATTGAAGCCGTGTATTTCACTCGCTCTAAACGTATTAAAGCATCAGTTCTTTAAAAATATTTTATTTCATTAAGTTATATTAATGATATAAGTTATAAACTTAAGCACTTAAGTTTATTTTTTCATTAAGTTATATCTTAAGATTTCCTAATTTAAATATTCAAATATTTACAGAAAATAACATAATTTTGTTTTTATATTATAGGTTGCCCAACTACGACGAGTTCGCATTGTTTACGCTGCAATAATGAAGGCTGTATAAAATGCCCTAGCTACCTAGTAACAGATACACGACAATGTGTTGAGAAATGCCCATCAGGTTACATTGATCAGTGGTCAGCACATACGGAATTTATGGGACGTGTTTGTGTCTCCACTGGGTACTCAGGTCCATTGATGGCTGCTCTAGCTGGCATGCTTGGCGGTTTTTTGGTGTGTTTTTCACTATTAGCTGTTGCTGTGATGCTCGTGCGTAAAAGACGACGTCGTAAAACCATAAAACAGAAATTAATAAATGAACACACTATGGATCGTTCAGATTTTCTGCGTCAATTAAATGAAATGCGTCCTAATGCTGAGTATTTTTTGGCTATGTTGAACGATACACGCAGACAAATACGTAAGCTTTATTTGTCGGGTGAAATAGCAGCTGCCAATTCATATCGACCGATTGTGCGTGATCTTGCAAAAATACTTATATTACTGAATAGACCAATTGAATTGATACCAGCGCCACCCGTCGACTGGAGTCGTTTGTATGCATGGTCGGAGCAGGCTCTAGAACGATATAAACCACAAGTAGGTCAATTAATTGACTTCTTTCAAACATCACAGCATGCGGGTACTAATGATGAATTCGATACGACAAATTACAATAAGAAAAATACTGATGGAAATGGTGTTGGTAGTAGCAGCATATTTCGACAGAATATGCTGCAGTCTACCACAAATCTAAATACACCAGGGTCAACAGGAACTGCAACGCATAAAATGCATCTTTTCGGTTCGTTGATTAGTCTACATGAATTTGAAGAACCCCGACCATCCGATCCATTTGGCAGTAGCTTTAATACACTTAAAAGTGGTAATTTAATATCGGATCTAAATGCAAGTTCATTGTGGTTGGAAGATGAATTTTACAAATTAGGCTTTCGACCGCAGGACGAAATAACGACTGAGTTATAGTTAATTAATACTTTTTAAAAGAATCAAGTTAGCCTTAAAAAAGCGAAAGAATTTATGCAAATATTATTATTTGTAAAGATTTGAAAATGTATATACATAACTGTATTTTATTGTAGAATATATAAATAAATATATACCTATACATGTAACTCAAAGAATAACAGACAACGTATTTTTTGATGTAAATACAGTATCTATTGTGATTTTTTAAACGAGATAATATTGTTCTACATATTAATGATATTAACGATCATTAAATGACTAGAAATAATTCGAGTTGAAACTATTTCTTAAGTATATTTTTAATTTAAAATTACAGAGAACGAAAGTTGCTATAGCGACTTCAGGATATTTTGTACAATCCAATTGAATTTAAATGTATATTAAATTAAAAAGTATTTTGCTATGAGAAAATGTATATATCAATATTGATATGAATAAAATATTTATTTTAGTGAATTCTAAGATTTAAGCATTACCGAATATAAAATAATGTAGATGATATTGATTAGGTTTAAATGAAGTTAGCTTTATAGTATCATTCAGTTTAAAGTTTAAATAAAAACCTCTTTATTATTTGGATATGAAAATCATTATTACCTATAGAAATAATATTTTGAACTAAAACAAAACATTCCAATCTATTCATCTAACGTAAAATATGAATAAATTTATATTTGCTTATTTGACTCTTTTTTCAGAGAAAAATTCAGAACACGAATTGCTAGTCAATAAACTTAATTGAAAAATAAAAATATGTTACTAAGAACTTCATGTATCGAAACAACCTAAGTTACATAAAATTAAACACTTTAGCGCACAAATTTACAACAATTGAAATATTTAATTTGAATTCCTAGCGTAAAACTTATAGAACAATTTACTTTGAATACAATTAAGTTGTAATTAAGTTAAGTTGAAGATAAAATTAAATAATAAATATATAAAATATACTGCTGTTTCTTTATCTCTATGTGCCAGAAACAAGTTATTTATAATATTGATTTGCATCAAAATTGTTATAGTGAATGCGGCGCGTTCATCAGTACTCAAAACTAACTACTATTAAAAATTGTTGTTGAATTCCAAAATTATCTGTAAAGCGGAAAACATAAATGCATTGCAACATTAAGGATAGAGCTATGAAATTATTTACGAAAACTGACAGGTACGAATTTCAGAATGGTTACAGGCTCCTCGGGGAGGTATGCAGATCTGTGGTCAATTATTGCTTAGTCTGATGAAGTGATACACAATAATCCAGTCAAGGCGTAGAGGGGGGTTATGAAGAAATCTCGCAGTTAATAGAGAGTAGAAGTTCTCAAGTGCACTTACTCAACTAGCCTCAACATAATAATAGTCGTAGCCATGACCGGAATATGGGGCGTGTGCCTGCCACCCCTTTTTGATAGTGTATACAGACTAATACTTCATAATGTAAAGGCGGCGCCTGTATTAACTGTGTCTTAACTATAATGGGTCATTGGGGAAGCTATAGACATGTTTCAGATAACTTTGTAAAGCAAAAACAGATAAATTCAAATGTAAAGGACATTTATTTGCCCCTTCTGTTTTTCTGTGTGGAAATTTTTTAAAATTAACAAATGTTACACTATAAGGTAAGAAAGCACTGTTTGGGTGGGCTTACTATCGTACAACGAAACGACGAAATTTTTAAAAACGTTGCAAGAGATTATTATGAAGATAAAATTAGTCTATACACAAAATTTGCTTTGATTAAATAATTGATTAAATATTTATAACATTGAGATCTTATCTAAAATTACTGATTAACAAACATTTATCATTATATCTACAGTTTTAAAAGTCAGCTATATCAATCTATTTTCTTCTAATCACTATATTGATTAATATCCTATCATTTCAGAATACTCCATAATAACTGAACCAATTTAATTAAAAGGAATCTGTCAAAAAATTCATAGACCTTTCTCATATCTATGAGAAGACATAGGTAAGCTCAATTAGCAAGAATGTGTAAGAACAGTAGATGTCAGGGTATACTATATCATGAATACTGATTCATCGTGTGTTATATTTAAATGATTTATGTATTGAAAATGTAACTTTAATTTACTTCAGATAACCTGTTGGTCCACGTATAGCATTTTAAAATAACATGAAAGCAGGGTGTAATAAGTACGCATTGACTTTGTAGACTTAACTGAACTTAATATCAATATCAAAGAGTTTAAAAGCGTACTTATCACCTCATTGTAAGTCACAAAATGCTTGAAGAAAATATATTCCTGCACAAAGCATATACATATCTTTTAATTTATAATATCTAAAACAATTAGATGGTATAAAAAAGAATTACTAAAATTATTGAGGTTTATATTCGAGCCGTTTTTTCCTAAATAACACTAGTTAACAAATAATTAAAAAGTTTGTTTTCCAAAGACGAGACACATTTTCTGCACCAAAAGTTGAAAATCATAATGATTTTTTTCTTGTGTGTCGTTTTCCCGTTATTTGTGAAAATCGTTATTTTGATGTTTTTTCTTCACAACACCTTTATATTATTTATATTATTATATTATATTAATTTTCATAAGTCACATTTTATTTGATTATTTAAATTCTGTAATCCAAAGACGTCTAGAGTGTGTTGCTAATAAGACTTATTTTATTACAATGGTATACTTAAATTATCAACAAACGATATAAATAATTAAAATCCATTCAAACTTGTATGACTTGTATTCTGGGATGATGAAAATATTAAACCCAATTAATATACACTATTATTTCTTACGACAACGACAACTAATGTCGTTAGTTATTTTATTTCGCATTTGACCCAGATCGGATATAAGATTATGTCCATGCGTACCATACTGTTACTTATGAAACAAAGACAGCCCAAATTTATAAGTTGTTCTAGCTACAAATGTTTAATCACCAAATCGCTGTAAAATAAACTATTTTACGGCTTCAGCAATCAAATTTATATTAATATATGATATGCAAATATTGGGAATATACCACGCTATCGATGCCACTAAATTATGGGACTTTAATAATATATGGTATTCATTTCAAGAACATTATATTATATCGTCAGGGATACATTAAATAGCGAGATCACTATAATAAAAGCAACTCATGAGATATCTATTATGTATGTGAAATGGATGTCGTATAATCTTTTTAATTCGTTTGTATTTTAATTCATACTAGATTTAAGTCTTCCAAACAATATATTCTGTTCGCCGCAATACAAACCTTTATTTTATATTGAATAAACACACTAGTCGGCATAAATATTGATTATCAGATCTTCAATGGTAGCAATGTTTAACGCTGGAACGGCAGTAAAAGACATAGCAAAGGCATTTACGGTGTCGCGTTTTACTGTTAACTGTTTACTATAAAATTAATAAGTTTAAAACGCATAATAACATAAGAAACTTAACGAGATCAGGTGTTAAACCCAAAACAACGCCCACTAAAAGCAGAGTCCTCTTATAAGGGAATTCAAAAAAAATATTTTTCTATAGCCTCAATCTGCTGCAGATAAATGGAGATCAATATTTGACTACCCTAAAGGAATATGCCTTTCCTACCAGAGATAGGCTTATTAAAGAATCACTTATCCTGTAACAGGATAATGCCCCATGCCACACAGTCCGAATGATAACTAATTTTTGATAGTCATTGATGTCACCAATTTAACTTTATCTTATTATCAAAATACTTATGCCAGCATTTCAAATTACTAATTAATTTATATCTTTTTAAGTTTCTATGAAAAAATATTTGCTTACTTTTAAATTTGTATTAGTTATTATGAAAAATAAAAAAACAAACACGAATTCTTCATAAAGCCATTTCAAAGTTAAACTCAAAAATGCACGATTTTTATTTTGTCAAAATACTTATGCCGACTAATACACATTTCATATTTGCTGGTTTCTTTGCAAGGCAACTAGTCCTTGTGTTTTACCTATAAAAAAGTAATTAAAAACAAAATTATATCATTTAATTATGAATTACAATAATATATACTTTATTTATTAATTTATGTTTTTGTAGAATTAACATTTAAGTACCGGCGACATTTTCCACTTTTTTCATAATAAAATAAAATATAAATGTAAATAAAATATTTGGTTAACAATTTCTTACTAGAATTACAATTTTGTGGTTTTTATAAATTTTTTAATAAATGGTCTGGTGAATATATAAATAAAAACATAAAATTAAAATAACTTTAACGAGGGTTATATAAACATAATCATAAGTTAAGTTAACAATTTAAATTAGTTAAAAAAAATTGAGACAATATCTAACATCATCAATATCTTACAAGTTATTATACAAGTTAATAGTGTCTAACCTTAGAGTGAGAACATAAAGAACTTTGGTTCGTAAATAAAATAGCGCTTAATATCGAGTATTATAAAAAAATAGTTAACAACAATAGAATATATACTAAGAAAATATCGGCAATCGGTATTTAATATACTCGTTGATGTGCCACTGTCCTTTACTGAAATTTATTTTATCAGAATAACAATCGGCACTGAACACAAAGAAAGCTTGTTAAAAGAGTCTATAAGATCGACATTATTAAACACCAAATACGTAAGTTAAAAGTTAGGACAAAACCATTTATACGCTAGTCTTTCTAACAACTCGGTAATATGTTTTAGAAACTATTGTCAGTCTCATAAAAATTTCTCTAAAATACCAAAGAATTGAAAATCTACAAATACTTCAACAAATTTATGTTAAATAATTGTGTTGGTGGTTGGTAATTTATTTTAAGAACTAATTATACTATTATTTAGGTTGATTAACCCGAGTCCGATTTTCGAGAAAATTTCTGATGTTTGTTGCCAAAGTAACACAAAAAAGATGTCTTTAAAAAAGTTTTTTAAGATTGTTAGGCCAGAATAAGCAATTTTTCTTGCAAACTTAATAGTTTTTAAATCAAATGGTTGTGCAATCAAATACAACAACAGTAAAAATTACTTTTACTTTTACTAATATACTTACGAGGAATGTATATTCCATAACTAAAATGGTTAGAAAATTTTAATTTTCTCTTCAAAATTTTAATTATTTAGAAAACTCCCTAAAAGTAGGCAAACATTTCTTCTTTTTCCGAAACTAGAAAACATAAACCTACGGTCATTCAATTGAACGTTTCATGTATCTTGTACTGGAAAAAAGTTTACTTAAAGTCAGATTTTGAATTTTCATTGACTTCGTAATTCACAGTGAATGTTTTGAAAAATTGTGGCCTACCACTCTTGGGAGCAAGCCAAATATCTAGTGAAGAATTAGTCAAGTAGAACAAATCGAGATCCATTCTGAAGTGATAGTTTTAGAGACACTGCA